ATCAAATTTTACTCAGTTAGACCTGAACGCATAATCCCTATTCATAATATTTTTGACTGATTTATTCCATTTATATATAAAACCTCAAATCGGCAAGACTCTTGCAAATATTTAGCTGCAATTTCTTTAAATCGTAAATATAATATATAATTAAAATTCGGCAAATGTATGAATTTTGGCAAATGTTTGATAATTTTTTGAGAAAAATTTTAACAAAATATATAATAAAAATGGTTCAAATATGGTCAAATTATATAGTAGAAATTGATTGCTGATTTATTTATGCCGAATTATATAGTAAAAATTGATTGCCGATTTATTTATGCCAAATTATATGTCAAATTATATGGTAAAAATTGATTGACGATTTATTTATGTTATTAATATACCGAATTATTTATTTTTTTGATGAATGTTACATAAGTGGCATTATGCTGAATAAATATTTTTTGACTAGTGACAGGCACATATAGGACCTAGTTTGAGAATAAATAAATAATATGTATATATAGAATATCACTTTTAAAGGATTACAAAGAAAAAGCTTTTTTGTTAAAATGACTAGTGATAAGCTATCTATATTAACAAAGCTTGTCACAAGAAAACTAGACTTATATTAGCAAGTGAAATATCTCACATGTGGATAGCAAAAAAAAACAATAGAATACTTGCTAGAATGTTCAATATACAAAATTCAATAGCAAGAAACTTGATAGAAGATATAAAAGATATGATGCAAGGTTTCAATAAATATCTAACAAATAGAAAAAAGAAGTCAGAAAAAAAAATAATAAGTTTGACAGTTGATGACAGAATAAAAAGAGAAAAAATAGATAAGAAAATAGCTCAACTAGTGGAAAGGATTTCAAATATTAGTTGGGATATACTTAATTTTTGCATAGAACTAATTAAAAAAGACCTAATAGATAAGATAGCAGACTTGTAATGCTATGGAAAGAGAATTGGTAAAGAAGCAAGAAAGTGAATAATAAAGATGCAGAAGAAAACATATAACTATTTCAGAAAAAAAAATTTGGAATGTCAGATACAAGAAAGTAATAGAGTAAGAATAGATGTTAAAAATCAATAGAGATGATAAAATTAAAAATTTAATATATTTATAGAGGCAAAAAAATAGGACCAAGGTATCTGAAAAATGGTAATATCAAGTATCATTAAGGAAAGAAAATTCAAATATTCAAACAGATCTTGCAAGATGAAATAATATATAGAATGAAATAATTGGTTTTAATTTCTATTAGAACTCAAAAGAGTAATTTGAAATAGTGATCTGCAGTCAATAATATTAGAAGTTGAAAGGGTGTTTACCTGAACTCCTAATAGAGTGGTAAATTATTCCCAAAGTTGTATTTAGAAAGGTAAAACAATTAAGATGAGTGAGTTAGTTAAAAAATTAGCTTTAGTATTTTATGTTATATGTATAACTTACAAATATTTAATAAAGCATACATAACTATCCTGACAAAAGAACAAAAAAAAACAAGATAAGTATTTTAAAAAAGAAGATATCTTTATTAAGTTTTATTTGATAAAAAATATATAATATATTCTAGAATAGTTACTCTATATAATAATGTTGTATATACTGTATATAAATAAAACAAAACTAGATCAGTATTTAAAAAAAAAAATTAAAAAAACTATTAAATATCTATCTATTAGAATTATTATTTATAGTTTATTCCTATAGATTATTCTAAAAAACAATAAATTATTGAATTACTATAATATATTAAAGAAGTAGAAAAAAAAATAAAAAAATAAAAATAATTCAAAACTTTTTCAAAAGATTTTTATTCAAATAAACAAATTTCTTTCAAAAAAATCTACCTTATTGAAAAAATTTTAAAATTAATAAAATTAATAAATATAAAATTTTATAATTTTAAACTATATTTTATAAAATATAATTTTGAAAAAAATTTTAATTTATATACAAAATTTTTTTAAACTTATCCTGAAATAATTTTATTACATTTTTATTTATTATTTGATATTATTTTTAATTAGTTGCATAAATTTTATTAAAGAAATTAACCTCTTCTATAAGAGTTCAATATTCTTATTATGATACTTTATTTAAAACATTTCAAAAAAAAAATTTTTTTTTTAAAGCAATAATCCCAAAGAATTGTTATTTCATAAATATAATTTTGAGAATAATCTAAATGTACAAAAAAAAGAATTCTAGTACATAAGGTAGACCACAGTTTCGCCATTAACAATTATAAAAATAAAGGTTGCTACATCACACCATGCCAATAGATGCTTTTTATTACGTTTATCTACCCGCACGATGTTAAGCTGATCGCAAAGCGGCTACACTAATATGTACACGTAGATAATGCAATATTTAATATATACAATAATTAATGAGTGAACAAATTTTTTGATTTACTGTTGAGAACCATGTATGCCTATGAAGTCAACCTTTTTCAACTGTCTAGTAACGCCTTCTGGGCTCGCGCTTTTCCACATCTCTCTTTCCGCCAAATGAGCCACTACCGGGCATCGGCGCCATTAATTCATTTATGTGCTCCATCGAACGATTAAGCTTAACTGGTGTGCGAGGAACAGTTAATCCCTCTCCAATACTTCCCCTCTTGGTAATAGGACCCGGTTCCGGTTCATCATCGCGTTCACGATCTGTTCTTTCCCTCTTTTTAGGATTTGGATAGGAAATAGGAGCCATACCATCATTTCTCATATTACGTTTCTTGCTGATAATATCTATTTCAGTTTCATCGTCATGATCCCTTTCCGTGCGATCTCGCTTTTTTGAGAGACCCATATATTTATCCCCGCGATCATTTCTAGCAGCAAATTGCATATCTCGTTCATCACGGACGGCTCGATCAAGTAAATCATGATCATTTTTACGAGGTCGACGGGGAAGCACATCTTCAACATGACGTCTGCTACGTCCATTATCGTTTCGATGGCGATCACGATCCTCCCTATCTCGATTGTGATCTCGTTCTCTTTCGCGGTCAAGGTCTCTACTCCTTTCGCGTTCCTTATCTTTCACCTTGTCGCGTTTGTCATCACGACGGTCCTCACGACGTTCCTCCCGTTTCTCACGATCCTTGATCTTCTCATCGCGGTCGCGAATATCACGGTCCCTCATACGAGGATGATAATCGGTTCTCTTGTTGCGGTCGTCCAACGGCGGCCTCTCTTTGCTGGATTTTCTTTTTTCATTTTCCACCCTTGTAACCTCTGGTTTAGACCGATCTCGATCCCGTCCTCTATCACGATCGTGATGGTCCGACTTCTTAATTTCCTTGTGGTCTTCGACCTTCTTTGTTTCTTTGTCGTGATCATTCGAGATCTCTTTTTTTTCTTTTACTCTAATCTTTTCGTGATCGTCATCCCTGTCCCTGTCGCGTTCCTTTTCCCGGATTTGATTGCGATCTTGAGGTTTATCGGGTAATGGATGGATTTGTCTTCTAGGGCTGTCAGTTCTGACCGCGGTGTTCGCATGTGATGGAGAAGAGTGTGCACTTCGAACATTAGAAAGTGGACTTGCTCTATTGGCTCCGTGAGTTTGAGATACCCTTTGTGCGGGTGACGATGAATGACTCGCTTGTGACGCACCAGAATTGGCGGCACCCTGCCTATTATTCGCTTGCGAATTCTCTGTATGACGAAAATCTTCAAGGGCAACCCAATTTTTCTTGTCAAGTTGAAGCCTTCCGGAATAGCTTATGGCCAAGACCTCAATATCCTTCCACTTGGTGCATTGCTCTGAGATAACAGTTTTAATCAGGTTTTCAATCTTCTTGCCAAAGATATCAATGGCTGGAAAATATTCGTGTATCGTGCTGATGACGATAATTGAATTTCGCAATGAAAGATATTCTTGTGATTGAAGTCCTTGCTCAAAAGCCTTATAAAGCTTCGAGTGCCATTTATAAAATACTCTTCTAAAATCCTGATACCCCAATAAATCGGTTTCAGAGACACTTGCAGGTTGACGATTTTGAGAACTCCACTTCATTTGAAATCCCGGGATACCTTTTCCTTTCCCAATTTTGTTGTATGTTCTCTCATCCTTGTGGAGGCTGCTCAAGGACTGCAAAATAGTCCTCAGGAAGATCCCATAGTTCCTTGCTTCGGCTTCAGAGCAGGTGAATGTGATAAGCTGCAACTGATCCGCAAATATTCTATCATAAAGAGTGAGTGTAGAAAAATTGGCAGTACCAATTTTGTGCATGCGCTCAATGAATTTTGAACAGAAAATGGCGTTATCAGGAGAGACTAATAGACGAGGAAATAAGCAATATTGCCATAGTTGAGTGATTATATCTTGGCGGTTCGAAAATTGACCGGAAAACCAATGTTCCTTTTCATTTTTCAAACGCTCCTCAATTTTTTTCACGTGTTGACTGTGTTCATTGTACTCCTCTTCAAGATTCTTCGCAGATCGGACGTATTTGTTTTTATCCTTGTTTGGATCGTCGTTGATATCCACCGGTATTTGATTTTGAATTTCTTGTATTGCCTTTAGATACTCTGTTCGCGGACATTCCAAATCATGCAGTGACAGTTGCCAAAATGTTACATAGAAAGCTGGACTAATTCCGCTCCAGACATACGATGGTAAGATTTTCGTGACTTGATCAAAAAGTTTGAGTAACGGTGGTAGCCAAACGCTATTTGCCTTGGAGTTAAGATTGATTTCGCCATTTTTGGAAGACTCGGTGATGGAAGTATCGTTTGAATTCTTGTGAATATTCTCGTTCTTATTCGACAGCTCAGATTCCTCGCCTGCTTTTCTTGAGGCCGCGTTGGCAACCTGTTTTGATGATTCTGATGGAGCGTCATTGAACGGTGCCGATGTGCCATTACTTTCGGCTCTATGCAAAGAGGGGCCTCCGTTTTGCTTAGACGATTCGGATGCCTCTATATTCTTTGTTATTGATCTTGATGAAATGGATTCCTTTGGTTTTTCGGGAAATCTCTTTAAGATATTGTTGAGAACTGGTCTAAGGATCATAAACGCATGCTCTGATTTTAACGCATATTCGTTACACAAGTCAATTATAGATGGAATAATCGATGCAAATTCGTCCATGTCGACAGAGATTGCCAGGAAATCCACATATTGTATGAAAGTTCTACGGCAAATATCAGCTTGCCCAATGGTTGACTTGAGTCCAAGTGTTGAAGATGCCTCAACTTCAAATGGAATACTTTGAGCCATTTGTGCGAGTAACACTGCAATTTGAATGGCCAAGCCATTTGATATAAGTGCGTTGGACAATCTTACGGATCCTTTGCGGTAATTCTTTACAAGACTGCGATTGAACAATTTGGTATCACGCAGATGTTTACCGCCGGCCATAAGTACTAAATCTGTTTCCGAAGGAATTTCAGTATATACAATCCCTGACATCCTCGTAATCATCTGACTAACTATAATCTATGAAAAGAGGAAAATTTTTGTGAAAATCAATTGACCAATAATTAAGGGGAAAACAATGAGATTAATAAAAATAAATGTATTTACCAAATCTTCAAAGTTGCGTTTTCTTAATGAGATCAATACATATTGTAGTAAGACAGTGATATTCTCGCTATTAAATTTTTCGAATTTACTGCAAACTTTACCAACAAAAGTAGCCATACGCTGCATCCAATCGCTGGGGTTAACCCCATCTTCTTTAAGCTTTGGCCTAGTCTCCTCAATCAGAGTTTCGACAATCATGTACGTCAGAATGTCAAAGTCCAAGCGATCCAGATATTTACACACCTCAACCATTCCTTCAATCAAGTCTGAATTCATTTTAACCTTTCTCAACAAGAAATCAAAAGTCACTGTTGGCCTAGAATGAGCCACCATCGCAATTTCTCGAGCCTTTTGCTTATAGTCCTCAGATGTCATTTGATTAGACAACTTAATAAGCTTTTTGACAGCCTTCCTTCGTCGAAGTTTTAATTCCTCATGTTCGTCGTAAATTTTCTTCCACTCGTGATAAAGGCCGAAACGTTTCTCTAATGGATAGAGGATCAAAATGTCCCATACGTCATTGACAACACCGACCGTGATGCCGGGCATAGAAACAGCTGGTAATATCGCCAATCGTAATATGTCGAACCATCCTTCTTTGATGGAAGCACCATTACTCGAATTTTTTGAACTTAAAATATGACGTCGACAGATTCTCAGCATCCAAGTGAATAGGATCAGGTGTTTTGAAAACCACGGCCCTATTAGACCAATAAGCAGTCGTCCAGTGATTCCCAGCAACTCGTCGAAGCTTTTGATAATGGGAAATCCTTCCATCCAACGCTTGTACCAGGTAGCAATAAAAGGTTCAGGTTGAGGCGGCTTCTTTAAACTTATGGGTGCAATAGGATTGTAGATGTCAAAAATGGCCATCTCAAATATCTTACAAAGATACTTGGCGAGATGTTCATCAATGGAGGGTAATTGTAGAAGTATGTAACACGCATGCTGAAGATCACCAATTTCAAGAAGAGCTTGGGCCAAACCCTTCTCGTGTCGATGTCTTTGTCGCGGATCGTTATCCTCGACTGTCTTTGAGAGTAGGGTGTATGGATATAAATCTGAAATTTTTACAAGCCCGCGTCGAATCAAGAGAGCGGAAGCTCTATATAATGAAATGTGTACATCACTTCCCATGTCGTTTCCGTCGTAACGCGCAAATTTTGTTCCGAGAAGTTCGGCGCAATTAAGGTTTCCCGTGTCGGCACTCCAATCACAAGATATGACATTGCTCATGTCATTCTCATTTTTTAATTCTGGAGGCCTCCAGGGAGAAATTTCCAATAGCCTCAAAAAGAATTCGTGATGAGGTTTCACATTCAGTATAAACTCATCGAGTATGATATCTAGAACACGATTAGGATCCAAATGAAAGTATCCTATCGAAACAAAATTTCGCATTAGAACCAATTAACAGAATAAATAATAATAGCCCATATTAAATAGTTTCAAATGTTTATTCACCTAACCTATTAGTGTCTTCATTGTATCTAATAACGTATCAGCCCTCTGGTTCCTACTAATTTCATCTTCGCCTTCGTATTCTGGATGACAACTGAGTGTGAGTTCATGTATAAGTTTTGCATAACCTTCCGACTCTTCACGCAAAAGATTGTATTTTTGTTGTTTATAAGTCATTGCGGTATTAATGCGGATGCACTTTCGACCCCACACTTGTGGCTCGACTATCTCGGCAGCCTCTAATAAAGGCACTTCAAGCCTCGTCTTCATTAACCTTGTGTCAATCAATTTTTGTGTCTAATTGAGATACAATTGTTACCACTTCGTTCGAAAATTTAGGAAATCGACAGCAAAATGTCGCGCGCGAGCAAGATCAAACATGAAATAACAGGGGATATAAAGTTTGATATATTTTTCGCCTTTAGTACTCACTTGAAGTCTCTTTACTATCTTCACTAGCCTTTCCTTAACGTTGTCAGAGACGTCAGCATCAAGAGTCCATAGCGTATCAAGTATGTTCTCTTGGGCTTTCTCAATGTGATCGTTTTGTAGATCCTTGAAAAGGTTATCGACGTGGTCAACATCTTTTTCCCCTTCCAAAATTTGGGTGAGGGTTTCAATTATAACATCTTCAAATGACTCCATTGTAATATACAAATTTTCAAACAGCAAAAACCTCTATCATTATAATCTTATAATCTGATCCAATTAGCTTTCATTATAATCACATCTTACTACGCACTTATTTGTAAGTCACCAATTATAATTATGTCATAAAAATGTTGAGTTTATTTTCTAAAGAATGCTTACAAGCTACGAGACAACAAAGAAAGTCACCGAGAAATGTGGTAGGAAGAAATTGCAATAGGAGAAGAGAACAGAAGAAATTTTAAAATTTAAATTTAATAAAGTCCAAAGTATTTAAATAGTTTCAAGGGCCGACATTTTAGTTTAGCTCGCGTTTCATTCAAACTCCACTTTTCTTCAAACAAGATTTCTTATATTAATGATTTATATTCACATGTATATTGCATGAACTTTTAATTATTACAAAAATTTAAATGCATCTTGGATATTTAATATTAAATTATTTACTAATAAACCCGAGCTCGGAAGACAAGCTAAGCTACTTATACATAATTCATAACCCATTCGCTAAATACAAAGAAATCATGAAACTTCCCAGAATACTCCACAGAACACCGAAACCAAATAATCCTTCCCCAATTCCTATTCTATTACCAGCTCCCATTTCACTTTGATCTGGATTAACGATGCCAGTAGGTTTAGAAGATTTGATGCCTGTATGTTTGATCGTGGTGGCAGATATTATTGTGACTTCGTTCGGATCTGGATTACCAGGTAAACTGTTAAAATCATGACTGTAATGTGGCGTCGCTGTAGGTGTGGACGATTGCCGAGAGGATAAGGAAGCGGTGGACTTCGGGACATGTTGGGTTGGCACTGGTTTTATTCCAACTGACGACCGGACAGTATTGGTATGCGAGGGATTTGAATGAACAGTTTTCATGGGAGTTGGGCCAAGCGATGAGCGTGCTTGAGCATTAACTGATGTCACTGTAAAGATCAGCAAGATGAAGAAAATGGATGAAATCTGTTTTAAGCTAAACATTTTAGCCGACCCAAATTGAATCTATTTTGATTCGTATTTCGAAAAGTTGAATACGTGAAATCGAAAGTTATCGGCCTTTATATTCGGTTATTTTTCATCAAAAATTTATCAATTGTAGTCAAAATCATTCACAAAATTTCAGGGAAATTTGATATATCAAAATATCATTCGAAATCATTTATGCCACCGTAATAATATTCGATGGTGATTTTTACTGCGCATTTTCTAGGGAAGACGGCATGCATCAATGTGAGCAAAAAAAATGTTAAATTTGTTGATATCAAAGGATCATAAATCTGACATGCCATCACCATGTAGCAATCGAAATATTGCTTGTTCGAAATAAATAATTCCGAGAGTTAATTGCATTATATAGTGATATAGAATAAGTTTTAATTTTCTATTACAAATTCAACAAGTAAAATATTATTAAATTCTCGACTTTTGATTTTGTTCAACACATTGTTTCAAGAATTTTTATGTTAAAAATTATATACTGTATAAATTTAATTAAAATTTTATAATAAAATTATTAATTGGCTATAATAAAACTTAAATATTTTTTTTATTAAATTATAAATAATATATACTTAAAGTTTTAATTAAATCAAAAAAAATTTTTAACCCTCTGTCAGGCCAGTTATGTGTGCTTTATTAAACAGTTGTAGGCTATACATTATATATATGATGCTAAAGCTAAATCTCTAACTCACTTATCAAATTTTTTATTCAAAACTTTAAATGCAACTTTAGGAGTGATTTATCACTCTGTTAGTAGTTCAGATAGAAACTCTTCCAACTTCTAACTTCATCACTTATAGATCATTTTGCAAGATTCTGGTAAGGATCAAAACCCAACCATTTTGTTCCATACTTAATCTCATTTCTTATAATTTCTATAAGATTTTTGTTTTTACTTTCTCTTTTATCTTCTTTTTGCTTTGTGATTTCATGGTTAGAATCTTCATGCAAAGTATTTTGTTTTCTTACTTCTTGGGTCTTCTTGTATTTCACTCTTTTATTAATTCTTTGCATTTGTTTCTATTTTCTATAATCTTTTCATATCTTATATTCCAAAACTTGTTTATGAATCTGATTATAAACCTTCTTTTGTACTCTTAGAATCCATTTTTTTTTACCATTGTTCCTATCTTCTTATTATGACAATTTAGGTTAATAGTTTCTTTGATCATATTATTTTCTACTAATCCTGCACAAAAGCTAAGTATTCTTGAATCAGTTTGTGAAACTGCTTCTATGAATTTGAAAGTCTACAATATTTATTTATCTCTCCTTTCTTTTTTCTATTGTTAATTGATATTTACATCTCCTTTTCATCTACTTTCTTTTTCTTATCTTGGTACAACTTATCAAATTCTTTGAGAAATGTTTCAAATCCTTTTTTCTATGCTACCAGAATTTCATTTTTATGATCAGAGCATTCTAGTAGATGTTCAATCATCTTCTTTTGTTAATTGTATACTATACAGTTTACTTGCTTATATAAGTTAAACTTTCTTATTATAGCTTACTTAAGATAGATAGTTTATTATTGATCAATTTAATTAGAAATTTTCTTCTTTGTGAACCTTTTAAAAAGATATTCTATGTACTATCATTCTTTAATTTATTTCATGTCAAGTTTCATTAATAGGTTTGATGTTTTTGAACTTGGTAATACTATTTTAACTTATTCTATATTGCTGTATTCATAACAAGGCAGTTAATCTCTTATCATTTGTTTGATAAATTATTAGATTGAACTATGTATTATTTCTTTTACTATAATATTATTGTAGGTATTTTGCTTAATTTAGAACTATTTCACTCTATTGCTAAGAACTTTAATACTTCTTTGACCAATCAGTTTACTTTTTTATTTTATGGATTATTAAAGTAAGCTTTGACTTTAGTTAAAATTAATTAAATATACTTTTTTTTTATAAGATCTAGTATTCTTGTTCATAATGACCAGTTCTTTTCTTTTAGCTATCTTTTGTGTATCATCTTAAAATCTTCTTTTTTGAATTTTTTTCTTTTGGAGATACAGACTTGACTATTGATAAAAATTTCTATCATACTGTTTATTGGGACTACTAAAACTATTGTAACTAGTGCCATTAATTCCACTCTTATATATAAGAGCCAGTTTTTAACTCCTGTTTAGAATTCGTATTTTTTTTTAACCCCTTTAGTTTATATTTATGTTGATCTTATTCTTGCATTTTCATTCCCATGATTTATCAAGAATCTATCTGAATAGAAGATTAACTTCTTCTATAATCCTTGATTATGCTGAAGAATTTCAAGTAGATGATTTTGATATACTCCTTGTTTAATATTGTCTCTAATTATTTCTTGTTCCTAATCTTCTATTAATATATGTTCCATTTTTTCAATTTAATTATTTCTTTGATCTTAGGTTTTTTAAATTATACTTGTTATTGTTATTTTATTAAGCTCAAGTAGGAAACAAAGAATCTTTAGTGATTGTGCTCTCTTAGTATTTTTTTGATAGTTTAGAAATAGTATAGTATAAATCATATCTGATTCTACTTCTATATTATATTCATTTCTCTTTCTATTGTTTAAGAGGTATCCTGAGCATTTGATGAAAACTATTTCTAGACTATTTTTTGTTTTTTGTTGATTGAAGTGATAGATTATGGGGTTGTTCTGCGATATACGGGGTACTATTATCACTGTGATGTAACTCGCGATATCATCACATTTTACTATTGAATG